TTCAGCAGGGCAACTGGGCTAACAGAGTTTATGATGAGTGGGCAGCAGTGGTCCACGAACCCCAGCAACCACTGATCACCCTTGACCTTATAGGCGGTGGTTGCTTCAGGAGCGCAGTCACTTTCCCCTGCATCATCGAAACTCTTAGGAAGAGGGGATGGGCCCTAGGAGCCAACCTCTGGGGGTCCCAAGACGTAGGCCTGCAGGGGTGCACAGAGGCTGTCCTCCTGCAGTCAGGCCAGGACCAGCAGAACAGGGGCAGATGAACCCAAGGTAAGGCAGCCCATCTCCCACCGCCCGGGTGGTCATGGAAATGCGGTTCATTTGGCATTGAAATATGGTGGGAGCACCACAGTCCAAAGGGCTTGGCCAAGTCTCATTAAGAAAGTGATTCTGGGCGTCCCCCGTGAAGTTCACCCACCACTAAGAGGCCCAGGTTTGTCCCTCAGAATCAGAACACGGGCACCAGCTCCGCACTGTCACCGCATGAGGACCGAGGCAGTCCACGGCCCTTTTCCTTTGCAAATGCCAGCAAGGCCTTGGCCGGGGCTGCAGAGGCAGACACCCTCTCTCCTTAAGGGGTCAGTGATGCATCCCAGAGGAGTTGGCTCTCCAGCCCTGAGTCCATGTTTTCTGGGACAAAGGCTAGACATCTGATGGACAGCCCAGGCCTGGGGAGGACACGCTACACAGAGGCTTTGGAGACCTAGAGACCGTATGTGTGGCTCAAGGGGCTGAGGTGAAGGCCACATGTCCCCTGCAGGGAGAAGGGAACAGGTCTCAAGCTAGACAAGCGCACCACCAAGTGCCAGGGGGCAAAGAGGAGGGGAGGCTGCTGATTCCCACAGTGGGGACACCACCGCTGATTCCCACAGGGGGTCCAGGGCAGCTAAGTGAGCCTCTAGGTCCCACCCTCAGCCTGCCGGGGGTCTCAGGCAGGGATGGACACGTATGTGCTGCCTGTGGAGGCTTGATGGAAATGCCCAGTGATCCCAAGTCACAACGACCTTCCTAGCAGGCGAGTTCCGGATTCCCCCCAGTCCTGGTGCTATCAGAACACTGGCAGCTAAAGCCAGGCATTGATGGGGGTGCAGCCTGCGGGGGCTCCCCCCTAAGGCCGCATTAGCAGTCTTTCCCAGTGGCAGCAATGGGGCACAATGACTGCATACTCATGTGCAGAGTGAAGCTGGCCCCCCGGAAACGCTGGAACCACACTCCCAGCTGTGATCCTTGGCCACTGACAGCAGAGACGAGGCCCCTGCCTGCTACACTGGGCCCTGGCAGGGCTGGCAATCACCTACGGGCAGGATGCCAGGCTCTCCTCTCCAGGTACCCCCATCAAGCCACCCGCCTGGCCAAAAGGGCTTCTTTCTGTCATCAGCAAGCTCACTACTGAGAACAGGGCAACCAGGTGGGGAGCTGCCGTGGGGCCTGCAGAGGGTGGAAGACGAGCGTCTGTGAACCTGGTCAGGCTGGGAAAGGTCAGCCCCAATGGTCCAAAGTGTGTTGCGGGGTCAGCGTGACCCAGCAGCAGAGCTGTGGTCACTAGAAGAGCTGGAATTGCAAGCGAGAGAAGGGAAACATGCAATGGAGGTCCCAAGCTAGCACGCGATACCAGGAAGCAAGGTGGGTCACAGGGCGCCCAGGAGCAATGACAGATGTCCTTATGGAACGAGAGAGGCGGGAAGGGATGTCTTCAAACAAGGGCGATGCTGTGGTACGGACACCTCTACGCAGCAAAAGGGGTATGCTACCTGGGTGGCGGCAGACGGACCACGGTGGTGGCCGATTCCTAAAGGTTCCGAGCTCTGGTGGGCAGGGCCGGGGCTGGACTGGTCCCATTGGAGGCTGGATGCACAGGGCAGGGCACCGTGCCCGTGGCAGCCAGCTGGCGGCAGAGCGACTGCCGTTCCCGCACGGCTCGATTCGAGGCCGAAGTCTTTCTGATCTGGGCGCGCCGGGCGTGCCGCAGCGGAGACTTGTAGGTTCTCCGCAACTCGGCCAGGAATCCCTGATAGTTGTTTCGCAAGGGGCTGTCGGGTTGCATGTGGGGGATCGCCCACTTCTCCGCCTCCCCGGTCAGCCGGGACACGAGGAACGCCACTCGCTCAGCCTCTCCGGGGAAGCGCGAGGCCTGGAAGATCATGAATCTGTCCATCTGCATCAAGAACCCCGCCAGCTGGCCAGGGTCTCCGGAAAAGGGCTCGGGCAGAGAAGTTGGAGGCGTTGTCATCGGTCGGGTCCCATTGGAGGTAATGGCCGAGATGGGTGGGGTGATCTGCAGCGCCCCGGGAATCCGAGCCCGGGTGCGTAACAAGGTCAGCTCCGCCATCACGCTCTCCAGCATGTTGGTGAGGTTGGCCTTCTCTGCACGCAGGGTCGAGGCCTCCCGCCTCAGCGCGGAGTTGGTGAGGCGCAGGGAGGTCAGGGTGTCGATGACGTCATCCATTTGGTCATTGGTAGAAGCTGCAGAGGCTGGGGTTTCAGCTCTTGCGGTCTGGGGTTGAACCATGGTGGCCAGAGGTCGGCCAAAGGCTCAGACTGATGAAGCGGGAGAAGGGGGTTTGGTATCCCAGAACCTGAGCACCTGTAATGCTAAAATTGGGTAGACCCAGCGAGAAATCAAGGAAAGGCTAGGGTTCAAGACACAGCGTGGCTGAGAAGCCCAAACAAGAAGGCAGGGCAGACGGCCCGAGAGATGAGCACAGCCAGACCAGGCAGGGGGTGCAGACCCTTGGGGATCCCCAGCTCCGGATGTGGCTCCTTGATCGCCGCCCTCACAAGGCCATGGCGGGCTGCACAGGAGGGTGGACTTGTTCTGGGCCCTGAAGGATGAAAACATGGTTTAAAAACGGTTTCGACTGCGGAAACGGGGGTTAGAAGTAAGGGACGCGGCGTGGGAGGAGCAAAGAGCGGGCGGCGAGGCGGGCGCCCCCGCCGAGGCCCCCTCCCTACGCTGGGCCCGGCGCCCACCTGGGGCAGAACAAAGGGCCGATGCACCCGCGGCGGCGCCGGGGCCTGGGGCGGGCGGCGGGCGCGTACCTGGGTCTCCGCGGCTTCCTCCGCGGCTCTGTCTGCCGCGCCGGCCGCGACCAAGATGGCCCGATCAGGGAATGCGGGCAGGCAGATGAGTCACGGCGGCGGCGGCGGCCCGCCGGAACTGCTTCCCGGTCAGGTCAGGCCGGGGCGGCGGCGGCAGGAGGCAGGCGCGGGCAGCCTTTGGCGGGAGCACAAGCCGAGCTGGGACCGGGCCCGGGGTCGCGGCTGAGGGCTGGTGGCTGAGCGGCCGGGGTGCGGGCGGGGCCTGCGCGGCGGCGGTGGCGGTTCCAGGCTCGCCTCGCTTGGGCCCCGCTGGTTGCCATGGAGACCACCGGCTCGCGCGCGCCCGAGGCCCCACCCCGGAAATGGCGTGCCCAGCCCCCGCCTCCCGGGCAATGGCTCTGTGCCCGTCCTCAGCAGCCAATCAGTGATGACTGATTTTATTATTATGATAGGTGTTTTCCTTTCTTTTAAATTCTTTCTAAGGCTGCTAGTAAAGCTCTTTTTGTATAGGTTGTAATTTTTTTTTAACGAAGTTTGCTTTACATACTGTAACTTCAGTACAAGTTCAATGTAGTGTATATTCACTGTAGAAAATTTTGATATCCGAGAAGTCTTTTTTGAAAAACTTTATATTCAGAGTCCCTCCACCTGCGAGAACAAATAGTGATATTTCTCTACTTCCATCCAGTCACTTTTCTATGATATATTCTATTACAAAACATTAATTATTGGGAATTCCCTGGCGGTCCAGTGGTTAGGACTCCATGCTTTCACTGCAGGAGGCACGGGTTGGATCCCTGGTGGGGCGATTAAGATTCCACAAGCTGCATGGCGCGGCCACAAATAATTAAATAAATAAATAAATATTAATTATTGTACCTTATGACATGTTTTGCGACCTTAATAGCACACTGAATTTGAGCATTTTCCATTAAAGCTATTTCAAAAGCATAGTTTTCAATTACTGCCTATGTTCCAATGAAATCGTGTGCGCAGTTTATTTAATATGCCCCTTCTGATAGAGCTCCATCTTATTTTACATGTGGAAGTTTTATAAACCTCACTTGTGTATGAATCCCAGCCCCTTCCTCTGCCAGCTTTGCCAGGGTAATTGCCCAGGAGTGAAATTACGGGGCCAAAGTGTATGAGCTATTTGACTCAGGATCTGGATGGCTTTCCCACTTGACCTTGCTGAGATACTTCTAAATGGTCAGTTCCAGGATGGAGCATGGATGGAGAGAAAAGACGCCCACCGTTGCCAGTCTTTCGAGGACACCGTCTTCAAGGAGGCTGGACTGCTGGCAGCCACTTGCACCCCTCTGGCAGGCCTGGGCAGAGTCGGCTTCACTCATGCCTTTACAGTTTTTGCTTCTATAAAATGGGAGTTGGAACATGAGGGTGTCAGTACTTGGAAGAGATAGTCTAGCTGTGCCCACAACTGTGTGTACCCCAGTGTGACAAAAAGTGCACCTTTTGCGACCAGCTGAAAATGTCTAGTACATGAAGCGAGAGGGGAAAGAAAGGAGACAATGTTTCCTTAAACTGCTTCTGTGAGTTCTCCCACCTCCCGAGGGGGCAGGAGCTGCATTCATCTTGACTGAGGTCGGTGACTTCAAATGCAGAAGTTGTCCTGTACCCCTCTACCCCTCCCACTTTTTCCAAACACACAGAGGAATCCATTCCTGTGAGTCACCCCACCGGTTTTTCTGCCCTCAGTGCCTGGATTGCACCTCCACAGGTTACTGGATGCTGTGCATATGAGTGAAGTGTCTGCTGCATTTCCAGGTGTGCTTGACACCATACATCTTAAATTCTCAGATGCATTTAATATAAGGTGCGCCTTGATTTGAGAAATGATGAAACATACACTTGAAGAAATATATAATTTATTTGTATTTCACCTAATATCTCAAAGAGGATACAAAGTGGCATTGCATAAAATAGAGCTAAATAAAGATGAAAATAAATATTAAAATAAGAAAAACAGAGTATTTGGCTTCAGATCCAGATAATACTATGATTCAGGCTGTGAGGTGCTGCTCTCTGCCGCAAACACACGACAATAAACTATACAATAAAGTGTTGAGAGGATCTGGCTGGGCTCAAAAGCAATATAAACTCCACTGTGGTCCAGAAACACTAACTGCTAAGTATGGACAAAGCCACGGGCTTGCTGGACTCTGGATCCCAAGGCATAATGAGGACACAAGGCTGGAAACAGAGCCAGGATTCCTATTTGAAATGAGGGGAGAGAGTGTTCACCCCTATGTCAAAGAGGAGTCTGAAAAATCTCTTCAACCATTCCATGGGGCAACACCTTCTGTGAAGGTGTGGCCCTAGGACAAGGGAGAACATCCAATATCATTAATCTCACGCCCCATGGTTGACAAGTAGACCCCAGAGGGCCAGGAATTGTGAACCATCAATATAAAACACGTTTCTGTACTGCAGACCAGGCATCACTGGAGTGACCCCAAACTGCTAGACCAGGGGGGAGAAGGGGCCCCGAGATGGAGGGTGGTTGAGTACACAAAGAGGGAAAGAAAGTGAAAGATACCCTTTTACCCAAAACTGAGCCTAAAAATCAAAACTCTGAAGCCCATGAAGACATCTAATGCTAAGAATAATGGCCACCAAAATCAATAATCACAATATGAATTAACTCCAGATGAAATTAAAATAATAGAACAGAGTCTGATAAAAAAAGACTTTAAGTAAAACATATTTAGGATGCTCAATGAGACTAATGAAGGAATAACATTTGTGAAAAGAACAGACAATGGGGGTGGGGGAAGCAGAAATGTAACAAGATAAGGTGGCTATGAAAAAGTACCTTCTAAAAAGAAATATAGTCAATTTCCATTTCTGGGAAGATGGAGTAGTTTCATGCTTCCCTATTCTTTCAGCAAAGCACAACTGAAAACAACTAAAAAGAAAAAAAAAAAAAAAGACTCAAAAAGGTGGAAGAAAAAAGGCAGACTGGCTAGGTTGCTCGGTATCCAAGGAATGACACAGTGGTGGGTTCCTTGGATATTCTTTGGTATCATATAGCTCAGATTTGCAGCCAAAGAAGCTGGCAACCTGGAAGAGGCATACAAAGAAAAAAAAAGCTCCTCCAAAACGCCTGCCCTCTCAAGCCAAAGAATGAGGAAAGAGATAGCCTATGAAGATGGAATACTTAGACAATAACCACTCTACTCCAGCCAAATGCTGCAGAAAAATCAGTGGCCCCATCACTATTCATGCCAGCAAAGGCTAAGTAGGGAGCCTAGACTTCCACCGTTGCCAAGCTAAAATGAGGTTCCCCACCCCACCCCCTGCCAGGGATGGTATCAGAGAAATCAAAAAATTTCCCCAAATTTGATGACATACATTAATCTGCACATCCAAGAAGCTCAACAAACTCCAAGTAGGATACACTCAAACACCTAGACACATCATCATCACACTCTTGAAAGTCAAAGACAGAAAATTTCAAAAGCAGCAAGAGAGAAGAAAGTGATCTATATAAGGTGTCATCAATAAAATTAACAGCTTGTTCCTCGTCAGAAAACATGGGAGCCAGAAGGCAGTGGGAAGATAGATTTAAAGTGCTGAAAGAAAAGGACTATCAATGAAGAATGCTTTACCCAGCAAAACTCTCTTTCAAAAATGTAGG